TGACGGAGCTCGTTAAGGAGCTCGTTAACTCAAATTACTCTGTCAACTCAAAGCAAAAAATCGGCCGACTCTATCTCGGAAAAACTCATTAGTCGGGACACACGTAAGTCAAGGCCCCACTGTACTTCTTGGCATGGAGTTCCGCTTCTTTCCAGTCTTTCCACATCTGTCTCTTTAATAATGTTTTTGTATATACGAAATTTGCCAGGTTAACCATTTTTAAGGGTATAACTTAGGGGCTTTAGTTGTTTTTACAATGTTGTGCAACCATCACCGCTATTTCCAGAACCTTTTCATCACCACACACAGAAGCTCTGTGCTCACCAAGCATTAACTTCTCATTCGCTCCCCGCTCCAGCCTCTGGTCCCCTCTAACCTGCCTACTGTCTCCGTGATTTTGCCTACTCTAGATATTTCATATAAATGGGACCCTACAGTATCTGTCCCTTTGTGTCTAGCTTCCTTCCCTTACCATAATGTTTTCAGGGTTTGTTCATGTTGTACCATGTGCCCAGACTTCATTCCTTTCATCATTCCCTTGTATGTATATGCCACATTTTAAAAAGTCCCTTCATCCATCCATGCACATCTGGATTGTTTCCACCATTTGGCTATTGTAAGTGATGTTGTAGCGAATGTTGGTGTGCAAGTATCTATTTTCAAAGTCGGAGGGGTCCGGTTCTTTCAGCTTTTGCTTCTGGCACTTAGGTGTTTCCACCATAATCTTTTGCCCTAGACATTGGCATGTTGTAGTTCAGCTTGCAGCACCTGCTTTTTCGGCCTGAGCTCCGAGTCAGGTGAAACAAAGATGAGTACCCTATGCCACTCCTTGGGGCAGCCGGCAGCCCGGTTAGAACAGATGTACATGACAGTTTGTGAATAAGGCATGTGCTGCTCTTCCAGAACAGGACCAGAGCCCCGTGCGAGGAATCTTGATTATGCTACTGAGCCAGCGGGAGTGGGGCAAGGACAAGTAAAAACACCACAGTGCTTTTCTACTGCCAGGTGCTCTTTTTCTTTCTTTTCTTTTTTTTAAAAAATATTTTTAAAATTGATTTTAGAGAGGAAGAGAGAGATAGAAACATCAATGATGGGAGAGAATCATTGATTGGCTGCCTCCTGTATACACCCCAATGGGGATAGGGCCAG